TATAGAACAATCAATTCCTCTTGACAGTGATGACTGATGAGTCACATAGATTGACAATAGAATTTGCTCTTCTAAATGTGCAGTTTGGTCGCCGTAGAAACCACCATGGTAATGAGCAATTCGAGCCAATGTATGAGCCATGTAAGCAGAACAGGGCTCCTCCAAGCCCAGTTCTTGTCCCAATCATAAAATTGTATAATTTTCGTTTACGCTAAACACAGTAGAATTGATTAGATTTAGTGTTCCGAATTTCGATGGTTTTACGTCATAATGCCAATAGTTTACACAAATCCTGGTGGATTCAAGGTTGTTAGACTCCACTTGCCAACCATCGATCGGATTAACCAACATAAGCTCCCATGGTACTTACTTTAACTGGTCTCTGAACTAACCTCTTTCTAGCAACAAAACTCATCAACGAGGTTCAAGACCAATCAATCATACTAAATGGATCTTAAACAATTTGTCATATATGAAACAAGTAGTCCGAATTATATCAAGTCCCCTAAAAGCTATTCTATACACTCAAGCATCTCTCTGTCTTCTTCAATAACCAATGACAAATGTTGAATCTGTTTCTGAATGAGCAGATGAAAGCTTTACATACCGAAAAAGGGTTCTCCTAAAACCGCGAATTGCTTTGTGATCTTCCATTGGATACTCCAAGCATCGGTACTGTCTGTTTCTTTCTGAAGTATATGGCCGATCCGCTTATCAATAACAGTCCTAGCATAAACGCCTGTCCATTTGTTCAAATCATCTATGTTAGCTCAAATTTCTACAAGTAGACTTTTATTTTCCATCAAGAACCTCAAAAAAATTAAGATCCAAAATCAGTTTTGTTACCTCAAAACCAAGAACTGATATCTTCTCCTCATCTCCAGAAGGGACACAGCTTCTGTAAGTTTTGTAAGACTGAGACTTTACTTTGGATGCTGGTGAATCATCCAGCAGATTTCTTGGTTTCGTTGATTCAACAACTTCTTCGTCGTCGTTAGCTTGACCATTTTGTTTTTCTTCTCTATCTTTCTTGTGTGAACCTTCTTCTCCTTTCACCTCTTTACATTTGAAAGGAATACGATAACCTGTTTCACTGCAACGATACTTCTCTTTTCTCTACATGAAAAATAAACACACAAGAATCCTCCATCAAGACCAGAGAAAGAAACCCACCCATATTGCTTCACAAGCATTCATATATGTTGTTTTAAATTTCGTGTTTTTTAGAATATAAATGAGAATTCCTACTCCAAATCCTAACCAATTACTGTCCATGTAACTCGGGATCTCGTTCCTCTTTGATAGAGAAACGTGATCTCCTAATAATGGGATTGTATCTCTAGCTTTAAATTATGAGAATAATGTTACTTCTAATTCTATGTTATTTGCCCTAGGGATATGTCTTTAAATACCTAGCTCTTTAGCAAAGAGTTGATCCCCATCTAGAAATTAGGTTTTAGAATTTCTTTTAGACGCTACTACTTCCTTGTAGCAAGAGCAATG